ACTGAGGAGCCTCCAAGTTATCGCTGAACTAGCCAGGCTAGGGACCCTGAAGATTAAGATAAAAAGGACTGGAACTCAGACCCACAGTTCTCTCACAACTATTTCCTCACTATCTTTGTCACTACTCTGCAACAAGGGTTTTGTCTCCTCCTACTAGGAGATTTGGAGACCAGACAGAGTCAGGGAGCTCAAGAACTGAGAACATAAAGGCAGGGATGATTACAGCTCCAGAGACAAAGGGAGAAAGCAGCCAGGCATGAATTGCTAACCTTTGTGTTCTAGGCTAAGGGGGACAGAGGACCGTCTTCTGCCTTCTCCATTTTGAGTAGCTGTGGCTGTGCCTGTGGCTGTGTAAGATGAGTGCTTGGATGAGTTTCATCATTGCTGAGGGTCCCTCAGTCCTGGCTGTTGTGTCATTCTCTGGTGCCTTGCCTCTATGACACTGAAGGAGTCCAGGTCGATTTGTATGTTGGTTTCTCAATACCTGGGCTGCTGACTCTAAGACCACACTTAAGAATTGTAACCTGCCAGGCAGTAGTTGTGCACAACATTAATCTCAGCACTCAGGAGGGAGAGGCAGGTGGATCTCTGAGTTCAGACCAGCCTTGGTTTACACAGTAAATTCAAAGTCAGCTTGAGCTACAAGAGACTGTCTTGAAAAACCAGGGAAGGAAGGAAGGAAGGAAGGGAAAGAATGAAAGAAAGAAGAGAGAGAAAGAAAGATTAAAGGAAGGAAGGAAGAAAAATAGAGAGAAGGAAAGAAAGAAAAGTAAAGCTCCGAGATGTTCTCTGAACCTTTTCTCACCTGTAGCTGCTGTAAGCCCCCACCCTAGCTCTCTGTGTCTGTGAACTCCAGTGCTTCCTCATGAACCTAGCTCTCTGTGTCTGTGAACTCCAGTGCTTCCTCATGAACCTAGCTCTCTGTGCCTGTGAACTCCAGTGCTCCCTCATGAACCTAGCTCTCTGTGCCTGTGAATTCCAGTGTTTCCTCATGAACCTAGCTCTCTGTGCCTGTGAATTCCAGTGCTTCCTCATGAACCTAGCTCTCTGTGTCTGTGAACTCCAGTGCTTCCTCATGAACCTAGCTCTCTGTGTCTGTGAACTCCAGTGCTTCCTCATGAACCTAGCTCTCTGTGTCTGTGAATTCCAGTGCTCCCACATGAACCTAGCTCTCTGTGTCTGTGAATTCCAGTGCTTCCTCATGAACCTAGCTCTCTGTGCCTGTGAATTCCAGTGCTTCCTCATGAACCTAGCTCTCTGTGTCTGTGAATTCCAGTGCTTCCTCATGAACTTAGCTCTCTGTGCCTGTGAACTCCAGTGCTCCCACATGAAGCATCTCTTCAGTCCATTCCCTGCCTGTGTTCCTTCTGCTGTCTACTCTGCTTGTAGAGTGTGGCACAATGGTTCACAACTGTGCAACAATTCCATTTCTAGTGCCCTAGGGCCCCTCATGTAGTGACTTTGCCATTCCTGTCTTGCTGGTCCTTGGTCTTGAAAGATGTCTCTCTTCACTCTGCCTCCACCTCCTGCCTAGCTGCACTGTCGCCAGAAGTCTTATGTCCTTGGGGGGGGGAGGGCAAGAGTGGAGATGAAAGGGGTTTCACTTCCTCTTTAGTGTCTCCAGACAGCACATGTGTATTGGAAACCTCACTGGCATCTTATGTGCTTGGAGATACCAAGAAGATGTGTGGGAGACCAAAAAACAAACAAAACAGAACAAAACAACAACAACAAAAAACAAACCAAAAACCAAAACCAAACAAAAAACCATACCTAGGAGAAAAGGCGACTTCCTGGAGGCAAAGAGCCAGCACTAAGGAGGGTGGAGGCAAGCTATTTCTGGCTTGGTGGGAAATGCCACGGATGGGACTCACAGGAAAAATTGTTTGCTAAGATCACCTGGTTCTTTCCTCGAACTCACAGAGATCTGCCTGCCCTGCCTCCTGAGTGCTGGGATTAAAAGCAAACACCACCATTGCCTGGCATGCTATTTCCAAGGTTCCTATGGGGTGGGCATGATGGCACATGCCTATCATCCAGACTCAGGACACTGAAGCAAGAGGATCACTGTGAGTTTTAAGTAAGCCTAGTCTACATAGCTCCCTGTATCCAAAAACAGTCAAGTTGCCTGTGGTTTCCTAGGGTGATCTCCAGCTCACGGTGAGTGGCAGGGCCTGAGGACCTGTGCGGGTGCTGGTGAAAAGAGGGACAGAGCCCTGAGCAGCTGCTCTCCTCCCTCTCTTCCACCTGCCCCATCTTCTCAGCTCTACCAAGCTTTCTCCATATAACCCATCTCAAACTGGGGAGAGGGCTTTCAGTGTGTGTGTGTGTGTGTGTGTGTGTGCAGTGCTGACCCCGCACTCAGGGAAGCCACATTTAGTCTGCTTTCCATTGGAGCCGTGAGCTGAAACCTCCACTCCTTCAGCTTCTCTGGAGCATGACACTGCTCTCAACTTCTGAAACACTCTTGTTTTAGACAGTCTTTACATCAGTTTAAGTCAAATTACCAAGAATTTTGCTGTGAGGAAGTATGCTAAAATACTATCTGGATGTATGGCTAAGTCATCCTGGAGCCTGCCCTCAAATTGCTGTCTGCCTGAGAAGGAGACTCACCTGTGTCCTGCCCCATCATTTCCACCTGTCCAAAATCTTCACGCCCTCTGAAAATGGTTTTGAATTGCACGGTGTCATATGTAAAGGGTGCATTGAACACTTGCTGTGGCAGGCACTATAAATCCACCAATGGCTCCAGGCACTGCGTACTTACCAAGTGCTTCCAGTCCAACCCTCACCCTCTGTCCTAGACTTACATTTGCATGGTCTGCCTCCTTGACTTATATTTATTGGTTCTCTTTTCCATCATGCGGGTTCCAGAGAGAAAACTCAGGTTGTTTGGCTTGGCAGCGAGCATCTTTACCCACTGAGCCATCTTGTTAGTTCATTGTCTAGGTCTTTCTACATTTAAGCAAATCTGCCTCATTGTATCCTAGCATTTATGGGAGATCACCCTACTCCCTTTTCTAGACTGTTTTGTTCCACATTATAGAACACATTAACAAAAAACAACTTTAGGCTGGAGCCTGAGCTGGGTGCTAGCACAGAGGGAAAAAAGAGATGAGCATATTGGCATATGCTTGATATCCCAGCACTTCAGGAGAACTGCAAGTTCAAAGGCAGCCTATGCCACAGAGTAAGACAAAAATGCTGGCAATGGGGAGGAAGAGGAGGGAGAGGGGAGGAGAGGAAGAGAGGAGCAAGGAGGAGAGGAAAGGGGAGGAAAGCAAAAGGGAGGGGAGAGGAGTGGAGAGGAGGGAGAAAAAGGAGAGGGAGGAGGGAGAGAGAAAGAAAGAAGGAACAAAGGGGAGGGGACACTAAAGAGAAAGACTTGGAGTCTAATCACGTGATCTCGTGAACGCCTCTAAGACAGAACCCTTGCTTTCCTTTATTACCTTCCTTCTAGCCCCTGTGTAATGTTTTGCAAATCACAAGCCAAGGTAACTTTTTGCCTGTGTGTAGAGAAAGCCCTGATGCCCTTTCTAGTATCTCAACAGGCAAAGAGGCAGAATTTTACAAGTGTCTGGACAGATGTCTCAGTCCATAAAAGCAGGGCATGTTCCATTTGGGTCAGGTGACTCTAGGACATGACACTGAGGTTGGCTAGCCCATGGGCGGTCAGAAGCTCCTCCGTTGACACCCTCACTTCACCCTTTTCTAGGGGCTCGCATGCTTGCCTTATCCTCTATCCTCTACATCACATCAATGTGCTTCTATACTTACCATTTCAGGGAGGCCGATCTTTCTTCCCAAGTAGATTGCACATTCCACAAGGGCAGGGGCCAAGTTAAGTCTGAGTCTTCTTTTGGCTTCAATATACCCAGCCAGCATAGTGAGGGGCAAGTAATTAGGTCTTTAAAGTATCTGTCAACTGACTGGCACTACCATCATTTGTTACTTACTTGCTTAAGGCATTATCTTTAGGAAATTCTTCTCATAAAATATCCATGTGTTTCCTGGGAACAATTAACCCATTAATTTACCCAGTAACTCAAAACTAGAATGTTATGACATTGGGATGTTTCAACTAATCTGTAATTACTACAGTGGTTGCTGCTTTGCCAAGTACCTAAAATTTCTATCATCCTCTCCAACAATTGCATAAAGCATATTTAATCATCCCCACTTTACAGATGGGAAACTAAAGACAAGAAAACTTTGTCTAAGGCTATCCAGCTAACAATCTATAAAATGACATTGGAGGGCTGGAGAGATGGCTCTGTGGTTAAGAGCACTGGCTGCTCTTCCAGAGGACCCAGGCTCAATTCCCAGCACCCACATGGAAAACCACCACTGTATATAATTCCAGAATCTAACAGCCTCACACAGACACACATACAGGTAAAACACCAATAAAATTAGAAAAATATTAATTAAAAATGACATTGGAGCTTAGATTATCCCTCTAGTCCATCCCATTCTCCTCCTCCAAATAGGCTTTTACACTGGAGGGAAAAGAACATATCTATAGCAAAAAACACTGACTTAGGTAGTATCCATCACCCTCCCTAGGAGAGAAAGAGTGAGGTGAGGCCTCCGGTAGGCAGCCACTAATGGGCCCCTGGGGAAGTTTGGGACTGGATGTCAGGGGTTAGTGATTCACAAGACTCAGAGAGGAGCATAACAGCTCTCCCCATTAAGTGTAGGCTGAACTATAGTGGAGAAGTTCAAAGCCAAACAGATCTTGGGGGCCGGTAAAGCAGGCCAGAGGCAAGGAAAATTGGCAAATGTAATACAAGACAGCTTCGAGGAGGGCCAAGGCATATTATGTGTGGCAAAAGAATGGATGGGTTCCAGAAGCCTGTGTCCCACCAGGACCAGCAGAAAGAGCCTGCACCCTAGCTCTGTGTACCTCTAGGTATAAGGAAACCGTGGGAATCAGCAGGCAGGGCTAGGGTCACCAGCAATGTGCCCCAGGAAGACCATCAGACCAAGCAGAGTCCACGTTCTGGGGAAAGCATTTTATTTGTTAATACAAGAATAGAAATTCTGCAATAAATATCATCTAATAAATAACATCTCCAAATAAATAAATATTAATACAACAAACTTAAGAGTCATGAGTGAGTGGGGCTGGGGAATAGGGCCTGGGGGAGCCATCCCCCTCACCCCACAATGCTACTGCAATGTAAACTTTCAGGAAACCCTGTGGCTGTGGCTATGGCTGCCCTCCCCAGCCCAGGCAACCACAGATACCCTGGGAAAGGGGGCAGACAGGAGGCACCGAGATGCCGGCAAGAAAATTCAAGGTGAGGTCCTGATGCTCAACATGGCTTTTGTTTTCTGCCCTGTGCCACCAATTGCCTTGGCAACTGCTGGATCTGGTCTGTCCCTGCCCTTCTCTCTTAGCAATCCATCTTCTGGTTTGTAGGCCATCTCCGCCACAGATGCTGGCCCTCCACTCTCTACCACATCGTCCTTTAGACTGCTTACCTTGTTTCCTCAACTGGATATGTAGTTATTGGGGTAGGGGAGCAACACCCATCCAAGGAGAGGGAGGGAAGCCAAGAGGCTTTACCCCAGAAAGGCACATGCTACAGTGGCCCCACCCGTGCCCTCCACGTGTGCTTCTGCAGGTGCCGCTGCAGGACTGAGGGGGCACTGGCAAGTGTGGAGCAGAGGGCAGGGGGCACCTTTATACCCACCTGAGCCATTCGACTTCCTCAAATGTTAGCTCCATGGAAACAGGGCAGTGCCCACTTCTCCTTTCCTCCAGACCCTAGGACTCTAGGAGCTAGTCAGGGGACAGGGCTTATTGAGTTACATGCCCCATCCAAGGCAGAGGAGGACAGAGTTCCCACTGTACGTTTGCTGGCTCAACAAGTGTTGGTATACAGGGTTTCGCCCCAGAATGGAAGCACAGATGGCTGGGTAGGGGTTGAGGGTAGTTAAGGGTCAGAGATCAGAAGCCATGGGCCTCCAAGTGCAGGGTGACTGAAGCTGCTGGAGGCTGCATCTTCTTCTTCAGCCGGTTGAAGTCCTTGGCCGAACGCCACAGCCAGGTCTGTAGCTCCTTCAGCAGCCAGAAGTCATCCATCTTCTGGAGGAAGTCACTGTGGGCAGGGCCAGGGGCCCAGGCTGGCTCAGTCCCTGGCAGAGGTTGGGGCAGTGGGTAGCCAAGAGCTGCCATGACACCCGCAATGCTGCCCAGCAGACCCTGGAGACTGGTACAGAAATGGGCCAGGCTGCGTCGTAGCTCTGCTGTGGCAGCTTGACGGTTGAGGCCACGCAAGTAACACAGGAGGTGGCTGTAGGCCTCATAGTTCTGGGTCAGCCGCAGTTTGTCATTGAGGCTTCGCCATACTTCCAAGTTGACAGTGGCCCTGGGCAGGGTCTCTGCCCCCAACCGAGGAGGATTGAAGTCAGGCTCATTGAAAGGGGGCCCCAGGTAGTTCAGCTGTGAAAAGGAGAGGGCGATGGGGAGGGAGGAGAGCAGAGCTGCCAGCCTGCCACCAGAGAGCTACCTCCTCCCAAACATGGCAGGCCTCGTTCACAGACCTCCTGAGTTTTTCCAGCAAGTGTGTCATTTGCATAGAGGTGACAGATGAAACAGTGGGGGTGATGAGCTCTCCTATGGAGAGGTGTAGAAAGGGAAAACCACAGAGGAGCCGCTCAGGAAGGACTTGCTGATTGGCTGGGCGGAGAGTGCCCACCACAGGGCAGGGCAGAGAAGACCCCGAGGAGCCTGGAGGACAGGCTGGAGAGGTAGAAGGTGGCCTCTGAGAGTGCATGCCAGGGAAGAGCTCGGGAAGACAGCAGAGCTCCACAGGGCAACTGCAGAACGTGAGAGTGAACCGCAGAAAATGCTGTCCGGTTTGGGGAGAAGATGCCTGATGACCTGGGAGAGACAGTTGCTGAGGCCTAGAAGCTGTGCTTGCAGATTGCAGGGTTAAGAAATGAGTGGGTGGAGAGGAAGTGGAGGCAGAGGGTGTAGACGGCTCCTTCAAGAAACTTGGCAGAGGAAGTCAGGAGAGAAAGGGTCTGGAGAGAGAGGGTAGCAGACTCGAAGCAGAGGTTTTCTGCACAGTCAGAGGAGAGTCCCTATCAAAGGCCGAGGGGGGCTAGTGGCACCAAAGCTCCTCTTCCACAGGCCCAGCTCCTCAAGCAAAGGGGACAAGGGATAGCAGGATACTCACCGACACCCCAGAGAAGAGATTCAGATGCTAGGAGCAGAGCTGCAAAGGGAAGAAACTGAGGCCATCTCAAGAGGGAGCAGGAGGAAGGGCATGCAAGGCAGCACAGTATAGGGAAGAGGGCAAAGCCAGTGCCTCAGGGGAGCGGCCTGAGGCCCAAGGAAGGGGATGTGGGAGATGTTCAACTGGGAGGGGAAGAAAAGAGGGGCGAGGCCTGGGACAGGCAAGGGCCCAGGGGGAGGTTCACACGCTGACAAGCACAGAGACAAACTAATTTCCTCGGTGTATCCTGGGGTTGCAGCCAGCTCCCCCGCCACCCTCCTCCCCTTCTTCCCTGGCTCAGGAGTAGGGTCTGGGATGTGGAAGAGGAACACGGGAAGAGGGGGCCTGTTCCCCATGGTCCTCAGCGCCTCCTACCCTCTCCCCTTCTCTCCTGGGCTCTATGAGCCTCTCTGGACAACCCTCACATCCTTATGATATAGCCACCCTGCATACCCTGAGCCCCTTGCTATGACTGCCCTGAATTCTTTGTAGACCCCTCCTCCGACACCCCCCAAGAGGCCTGTGAGTATGGGAGAGGCAGAGGGAGGCCATGAGTCTAGAACAGCAGGGCCCCAGGTCTGGGGTAGAGTCAAGCCGGAGCACAAGCACAGGAGGTGGGGCCCCTCCACCCCACCCAGCCCTGCCCTTGCAAGAGACACCACAACACGGTGTAAACAGAGGAGACTTCCCCAGCCCCCAGGGGGAGGCAGGCAGCTGGGCTGGCAGCCAATGGGGCAATGGGCCAAGGCGGGTTCCGAGGCCTGCCCACATGCCTAGTCCTGGGGCCAGGATGGGGGGGGGCACCTGAGAGGGAAAGGCAGGAGATAGGCCAGATGGAGAAACTGTGGGAACCCAAAGGGCCTCTCATCACCCCATCTTCACCAGGACCCCTGCACCATGCTCTCTCTTCCCAAAAGCCTCTGCTCCCTCTTTACCCAGTGCCCAAAGTAAATGGGATACTCACATAGGTCCCAGCCAAGCTGCGGAGTTGGTGCTCCAGGTAGCGGGTGAGGTCGTAAGTTTTCTGGATGGAGGGGCCAGGCCCTGGATCTCCTGTGCGATTAAGAGCTGGCACTGCAGGGAGGTGCCACAGCACCGTGCATAGGCAAGCTAACATCCCCCACGAGTCCCCTGTGGACAGGATGGGCAAGAAGTATGAGGGTGGGCCCAGGCCCGAGCGGGGAAACAGCTGGCAGCCCCTCAGGTGTCTGTCCCCACCTTGGGCTAGGAAGGGGGGTGAGTGTGAGAGACCAGATGGGAGGTGGAGGGGATGGAGGAAGGGAAAGACTTCTGGTCCAAGAGTGTATGTGGAGTGTGTGTGCAAGGACGAAGTCCTGGCATTCGTGTCTATCAGTAGATACTCGACTGCATCTGTCAGCTGACAGTCTTCGGCATGTATGTCACTATATGTGCCAAAATTGTGTGCATGGGTGTACTCACAGGGGCAGGCCAGACTTTAGAGACTTTATGTCGATATGTTGGAGTTACAAATTTTTTTATATTTTATTTGACTTTAGTTTATGTGTATTGGTGTAAGGATGTCAGATCCCCTGGAACTGGAGTTACAGACAGGTGTGAGCTGCCATGTGGTGCTGGGAATAGAACCCCGGTCCTATGGAAGAGCAGCCAGTGCTCTTAACTACTGAGCCATCTCTCCAGGCCCTGGAGTTACAATTGTGTCCCAGACTCTTCTCCATATCTCCTAGTCCCACTGCAGCTGGCACTGAGGGTAGGGAATATGGCATATATTAATTCTGGCAAGTTGTGAGCAGTGAGCCCTGTGGAAGACTGAGGAGGGAGGCAGCAGCCATGGAAGGTAGGAGCAGGGTTCCACAGCCAATGTCATTCTGAAGGGTCCAAGATGGTTTGTGGAGTGATAAGTGATGGGTATATACTAGGATACAGTTCCTGGATGTGATAAGGGTCTGATGGAATTATTTGAAGGAGATGTAGCATTCATCTTAGTAGCAATGTAGAAGTTTGATCCCCCCTTTTTTCCTGTAGTGCTAGGACATGTGCATGCAGACAAGTGCTATACCATTGAATTATAACCCCAGCTCTTGTCTATTTTTTGAGACAGGGTCTCCCCAAGTTGTCTAAGCTACTTGTGAACTACGGCCCTTCTGCCTCAGCCTCCTGAGTAGCTGGGATTATAGGCCTGTACTAACAGGCCCTGCCCATGTTTGCTCTATCTTTATTTGGGGTGTTGGAGGGGGAACACCAAGAGGAAAGATGTGAGTTTAAAGGGGCAGGCTGATCCACAGAAGACATGGAGGTTTGATTATCCCAGAAACCAGGAGTTGAGCCTGGGAGAAGGGCCCAAGTCAGGTGGGAAATACTCTAAAGGGCTTTATAGGTAAGGTTTAAGATCAAAGTAAGTACCGATCTGGGCTAGGATAGGGTAGGAATATAATTAGCCGTGGGCTAGGTTAAGCTTAAGGACTAAGTCTTAACATGAATTTAGACTTGGGATTTGGTTGAGTGAGTGTGTTTGAGATTTGAGTCCAGGAGGGCTATGTGGTTAGGTTTGGGCAGGCAGAAGGTTAGTTGGCACTAAGATCTATGAATTTGTTGCTTTACATGTCAGATAGAATGGTGTTTGGCATGTCACAAAAAGCAGGGCTAGTTTGGGTTTTAAGCTTGGATAGGTATGAGGTCAAGTGGTTTCTTTACTCTAGTTTACATTTTACACTTCCAGATTTTTCTGTAATGACACGTTTCTTAAAGCAAGTGGATAGGGTTAACAATCTGACTGTATGCAGACTCAGGACAGGGCTTGGAGTTAAGAAGGCATGAAGGCTAGATTACGGTTAGAGTCTGCCATAATGCTAAGTCTTTAAAAGTCCCTATCCAGGCTCAGTGACTGGAGAGATGGCTCAGAGGTTAGGAGCACTGGCTGCTCTTCCAGAGGTCCTGAATTCAATTCCCAGCAACAACATGGTGCCTCACAACCACCCGTAATGAGATCTAGTGCCCTTTACTGGGCAGGACATTGCATACATAACAAATCTTTTTTTTTAAAGAAGTCACTATCTGGGACTGTTTGTCACATGTAGAATACAGGAGGCAGCTGAGACTTTTGCTGTGGCACAGGCACTCAGTACAGCTGCTCAGGGGCTTGACTAAGTCAGTTTTGCAGGTGGAGCATGGGAGGAGTGGGCATCCCATCACAGGGACCTTGTCTTTGGAATGAAATGATCTTAGCTTGAGAGAGAATACACACGCACACGCACACTCATGAACACGTGTGCATATATATGTGTGCAAGTTCACATGTTTCAGACAGTAGGATTAGACACTTAGCTGATACACTGTTCTCTCTCCTATGTGGAGCCTATATTCCTTTCTTGATCCTTTCCATCCCTAACTCAGTTTTCCTTTCTACTCCCTGATCATTGAATCCCCAAATATGTCCAAGTTCTCCTCTTCTGTACCAAGTCCTGGGCATCTGGCTAAGTCCCCTGCAGGACTCTGTGGGTATCATATAGGGTTAGTTTTGGAGACTAGAACCATGATGAGTTGAGCAGTGGCCCTTCCAGCCTCGAAACAGCTTTTAGGATGAAGTATGGTTTTGCTGGAAGTTAATGGCATTGCCAAAGTCCTGCCAAAGCATAAACTGGAGGCTTGGCTGGCCTCTTTACCCCACCCTGCCAGAGGCAGCCCTGTGACCCAGAATCCTGGACTAGGCTCTGTCTGTCCCATAACAGGAGGCACAGTCAGGAGCCCAGCCTAAAGTTTGTTTCCCCCTCACTTCTTGGGCCCTGTGGGACATCCCTGGGGAGAATAGCTCCTTACACAGGGACAACAGGGGGAGAAGAAGCCTTTGGATAAACAAAGCTAAGTCATCTGGGCAGAAAAACGGCTCATGAAATTAACCAGACGAGGCCGGTGTTTCCAGGAATATTTCAGTTCTGAGGTAACTGTATCACTGCAGGCTGGGGGTTGGGGGACATGGGAGAGCAGAAGGAGTCTACTGACCAGTCCTGGAGAGAAGCAGAAAGAAGCAGGGGTCACAGGAATCAGAGTGGAGGCAGAGGCGGAAGGACAGGTGAAGTACCTCACTCTGCTGTCCTATGACAGCTTTGATCTTGGGCAAGATGTGCCTCTATTTCAGGCAGCCAAGCAGGAAGGCCTGGACAGAGAACACCTGAGCTTAGTGTCAGCACTGAGCCAGGGGCTCCCAGTGTCCAGGGGCAGGCTTGGTAGAGCCCAGCTCTCTGCTTCCCTCCCTAGCTCACTGTATGCAGGTGGACCCTACCATCAGGCTGCATCCCAGCCCCCTCCCACAGCCCTGGTCCCCAGCCCCAGCCCTGCCTCTGGCTGCTGCCCACTGATTGTTTACATCCCCTTCTCCTTGTGTTTATAAATCCAGCTGAGCACGTGAGGAGCTAATGAGCGCAGCTCAGTTTCCTGCTGCTGCACCCCCACACTCCCCATCCTGGCCCCTGCCAGGGCCAGCCCCTAATTCTATCCAGATCCCTGGGCCCTGGGAAACAAGGCCCCCCTCACGAACACATGCACACACACTGCCTTAGCCCCATCAAGCTCAAGGGCCACCCCCACACGCTACACAGGCAGGCCCTTAGCCAACCTCCCCTCAGCTCCTGGCCCATCTCACAGGCTGACCACCCTCGGTGAGGGTGGGGGGCTCAGCAGTGCAGATGTGCAGGGTTGATGGGGGAGACTGCACCTGGGACTAGGGGCTAACAGCTGTGAGTTCTAGAGTTAGGTCCAGAAGTCCTATAGGCTAGGCTGAATATGGGAGCCACAGGAAAGGTCCTGCCCTCAGTCCAGACCAGGGCCAGCATCTGGGTGACCTTGAAGAAGTCCAGGGGGGAGCTGGAGGGAGTAAGCCTAAGAAGGGGTGAGAGATCCAGGGGTCCTTCCCAGGGAACGGTCCTTCCATCCTCAAGACTGGCTGCCCCCTTCTATTTTTTCCTTCCTTCCATTCTACCTTCTCAGGTTCCCGTCCCCCAAGGCTGCTGAGGGGTGGGAGCATTCGTGGGAAGGTAGGCCTGGAAATCAGGAGACAGCTTTGCCCTGAACCCGTCTGGTGACAGTGGGCTTCCATAAGGAGACTGCCCTGTGCTTGCGAAGTTCCTCCCAGCCGAGTCATGTGGGGCTTCGTCTCTGTCCTTTCCAACGCTCCCATCTTTTTCATCCTCTTCCTTTCGAGTCCAAAATATGGAAGAAACCAGGGTCAGGGAAAGAAGCAGAAGGCAAGGCAAATCAGACCTCGTGAAGTCAGTCCAAGAGTTGCGCTTGGGCTGAAGGAAAAGCTGCTCGGATGCCACAAGAGGGCCCGTGCGAGTGAAGTCCGTAGCCACAGGCTGAGCAGCCCACTGAGGCCCGAAGCCGCCGAAAAAGACATGAAGGAAATAGTTCAGAGCAAGCGTGTGGGTGAACTGGAAATGGTGTTGTGGTCAAGAGTGTACAGGGGGTGTGGGAGGGGCTGCAGAGTATAGCAGCAGGGTGTGAACAGGCAGGTAGGATTATGGGGAAGAATGTGAAGGGTCAGGAACCAGTAGCTGGTGTGGTGGGGTGGCCTGCAGAAGTGTGAATTGGACACTTCAATGTGCAGCCCAGGGGCCCATTACTCCAGTCAGTAGACGCTTCTGGGGCTGCCCAGTGGCAGTGGCTGCCATTTCTAGTTGTTCCTCCTCTACCTTTGAAGTGCGGCTCCAGGACACTAGAGTTAGAGGTGCGTGCCGTGTCTGTTAGGGAAATAAGAACTTGTATGGGGAGGGGAGCACGACAAGGACGAACAGTATGGCAGTATGCACTGGGTTGAGACGGGCGCCCGTCAGAGACAATGAACGTCAGAGATTTCCCTAGGTCAGATTCCAGGGGAGAGCGGTGCGCCTGATGTTCCCCATCTCTAGTCTCAGTCTGCCGCTACCATGCTTCCACTGTCTGCCCTCCTTCCTCTTTTGGCAGGTTCTTCCTGCCTCTGGGCTCTGGAGAACAGAGATTGGGGTCTCCCAGAGGGAAGCCTCCTGCAACCCAGTGTATGAAAGGTAGGTGAGAACATGGGTGTGGGGACTATGGAGAAGCTGCGCGGACTTTGCTTGAGGGGCTCAGCCCCGAGGATTGCGGCGGTGGGAGTTGGCAGTTCGCTGGCCCTACCTCCTCGACCGTGACCTCTCGATCCCGGACCCCTCCCGGCGGCGGTGGCGCCTTCCCCTTGTGTGGCCCCGGCGCCCCCGGCCCCGCCCCCCCGTTCGCTCCTTCCCAGCGGCGGCGGGGGCGGAGGCGGGGTCCGGGCGCCGGGCTTCGGGGCTCGGCTGAGCCGCTGCCCGCTCCGGCGCGTCCACTCCCTGCCCTGCCCGCCCTCCTGCAACGGGCCGCCCTGCCAAGCAGCCGCTCGAGGGGCTGCCGGCAGGTCTCAGCGCTCCCGGGCCGTGGACGGACTTTTTCCTGCTGGGTCCGGCCGGGCTGCGTCTTCGCCCCAACCCCCTCCCGCAGTAATCACTCCCAGGCCACCGCGGGCTCGGGGCCCCGGCCGCCGCGCAGCCCCTACCTGCCGCCGGCTCCTGGGCGGTGGGCAGCGTGGAGGGCTCCGGCCACGCCGCGCGCAGCGTAGTAGCCGGGAGTCCCGCGGCCCGGCCGCCCGGCCCAGCTAAACTGGCTCTGCCCTCCGCCCTCCTCTCGCGCGCCCTCCTCCCCTCCCCGCCGGCCGAGGAAAGAGTTCGGCGCGGCCCGAGGTGTCGGCCTCGCCTCGCCTCCCGCTGCTCGGCCGTCCGCTCCCCCTCTGTCTCCCTCTCTCTCTCTCTTCCTCTCCTGGCCCCCTCCTCCCTCGCGCCGCGTCCCGTCCTCCCCCCCCACCCCCGCACCCTCGCTGCCCGCCTCGGAGTCGCTCGCCCCGACTCTGGCGCGGGGCTCTGTGTCCTCGGGTTCTCTGGGACCCCGTCTCGCTGTGGCTCCAGGTGGCCGCCTGTCCAGGTCTGAGGGTTGTCCAGGCTCCCCGCGGCGCTCTCGGCCATCTCCCGGCTCCGCCAAGCGGACTCCAGGAATGCCGCGTCCCCACCCGGCCCCTCTCGAGGGCGCCCGGCTGTACCTCCCCAGCCCGAGCTCTGCTCCCCGGCCGGGCCCCGGCGTGGGGCTCCGGGGGTGGGGAGGAGGACGGGAACCGGATCTCACTGCTGCTGGGCGGGGGCGGAGGCCGAGGCCTCGGACGCCTGGCTCCTACCTGCTCGGAGGTCCATGGGGCTGGGGGCCGGGCCGGCCGGGCGCGGCTCCTCTCCCAGAGGCTGGCGGAGTGGGAGGGCGAGCCGCGGCTCCGGCGAAGCTTTAATAATCCCATCCGCCAGGCCCACTCGCAGGTTTTTTTCTCTCGGTTTCGCATTTTTTTTTCGGTGTGGGACATTCTGCAAACTTTTTTTTTTCTGACGTGTAAAGCTGTAACCACAAATTGTAGCAGCCCTCCCCGGGGTGGGGGGAGAGGGGGGAGGAGGGAAGGGAGAGCTTCTGGGGCTCCTCTCCCTCCCACAACACTGAGGGGGGGTGAGGTGAGGCAAGGCTGCGACGGTACCACCCTAGGCCTCCTGGGGGAGGGGGCAGGGAGGGCATCGTCCCTCTGCAAACTCTTGAGAGCTTGGAGAGGGAGCTGGTCTTGGTGTGGGCTTCTTCCTTGGTGTCGGCCAGGGCACGCTGGCCTCCTCTTCTCTGCTCTCTGCTAGGTTTAGGGTCCCTGTGCCCACCCTACCTCTGCCTATTCATTTCTAACCTCCCCCCTCCCACTTGATTAATGCAATGACACACTCTCTCAAATGCCAGCAAGCTGGCCTCCAAGCAAGTGATGGTGTTTTTCCTGCTGCCCTTTGTCTGGGCTGACCGCCCCCCTTGCCTATTGTCCCACTGCTTGTACTTGTCCCATTTCCAAAAGCTAGAGCTAAGTGAGGCGCCAGCGACTGGGGCAGGTGACTAACCAGCTCATAATGCCCCCCTGAGGAGGGGAGAGGGCACCAGGGCCCTGCTTCTCCCTCAAGTTCACAAGGGTTTTCATTCTTCCCAGTGACCAGGGAGAGTGCACATGGGTGGGGGATTTGTAATTCATTAATCAGCACAAGGCACCGGACCAGTTTCAACACCAGAGGCTTCACGGGTGACTCAGCGGGAACGCGCAGACTCAAGGCCAGGAACAGACCAGACCCAGCATCCCGTTTGTGAAACGCTTCCCCATCGAGACATTTGGCATCCTCTTCCCTTTGGGGTTTTGGGTTGTTGGTTTTTCCGGTGGTGAGGTAGGGGTGGTTTGGCAATGAGTACTCTCCCTCCTTCCCCTCAGGCCTGGGTTGGGACTTGCTGAGTGGGAGACCTAAGGGACCCATAAGCCTAGACCCTCCCAGGAGGGTCTCCCTTCCTCCCCCTTCCTCCCTCTCCAAAGGGCTGCCAGGGAGAGTGAGCAAGAGCTAGTGCCGAGGAAACGGCTGTCATCTGGGGCTTGGAGACGGCCCTACTTGGTGATTTTTCTTGGGGTACAGTCAATTGGTCCCCAAGTCTTGGGTGCTTGTTGAAGCATACCACCAATTAAGTCATTTGATAATGAGTTGCTGTGCTGTTTATCTGTAGTCTCAACAGGGGCAGATACGGGCGGCAGCCGGACCTGGAAGGTGATGCCTGTCTCTGGAGTGGCATGAGACCTTCACCCCCACTTCTGCTGGTGCCCCTGGGAAGGAGGGCACTCGGCCAGTCTATGTAGCACAGCCTCTCCACGGGCCTGTGGGTCAGAGTAGGCATCAGTCATGGCCAGTGCTGGTTTCCAGGGCAGCGTTTCCCTTTTCTGCACTGGAGAACTGAGGTGGGGGGGTGGGGGGGTGGGGAAGAAGTTTGTTTTCAATTACCTCACTGGAGTGGGACAGACTTTGTTGTTGGGTTGTTTCTTTCTATTTTTTTCCCTCTCTCCCTTCCTTTCTCTCTCCCTCACCCCCCTCTTTTTTTTTTTCTGAACAAGAAGAAAAAGCTAAGAATGGAGAGCTGGTCTGGGGTGGGGGCAGGGGACTCCAGAGCATCAGTAGCTGCTCTGATGAAAAGTGCCTTGGAGGGGCCCTTGTGAAAAGTGCTCCCTCCCCCACCTCCTCCCCACCCCCCCACCAGCCAGGGCTCTGGAGTTTCAATGACACTCTTGGCCAGGGAGCCTAACCATGTCTTGATGTTCATGCCATGGTCAAGAAGGCAGATACCCACAGTAACTGACCCAGAGTGGCCCAGGCTGTCCCCCGGCATCCATCACCTCTCCCGAGGGAGGGGGCGAGCAAGAAGGGGAGCAGCTTGAAAGCCCAGCTTGGGCTGTGCAGCTCCACAGCTTGCCCCTGGTGGAAAGGCTTTGCAGACAATGTGGTTTGGATTTGGCTGAGTCCCCTCAGCACCTTATAAAGCACCTTGCTGAGTCAGGGGGAAAGCAGCCTCAGTGAAGAGAGAAGGAAGAGGGTTGAGAGAATGAAGGAAGGAGGGCTGAGGGGGAGAAACGGAGGGATAAAGGAGAAGGCACTGGGGAAGGAGAGAGGAGACGCGGAGAGGCAAGTGGGTTGGACTGAGAATGAGGAGGGCTGTAGTTGGGAAAGGAAGAGGACACTGGATGATGAGCAGGAGCCTTTCGTGAAGCTGGGGAGTGAGTTCTACAGGTTACTCCACCCAGCCTCAGCAAGGCTTCTCCAGGGTACTGGCTTGCAGGAGCCATGGGCAGTTCTTCCTAGCAGATGCAGACCAGTGGGGAGCAGGACAACTGGGTTGTTCATACATGGCTCCTGGGGCTCCCCCGTTTTGATTTTAATGTAGTGACCCCACATTTTAGGAAAATCAGATTCTTCCTTAACCCCATGTCTGGACTTGCCTTCCTGCCCTCTCCCCTCACCCAGTGGGGGCCACCCCCTAACTCCTGCAGTGCCAAAGGGAAAATCAACTCCATCTCCAAGCTGCCAGTGCCCCTCTGCCATGTCTGGGCAAAGGCAGCAAGCTAGAAGCTGCCAGTTGGGGTGGGGTGGGGGCTGGAGGAAAGGCTTTGCCTTCTGCCAAATCCCCACTAGGGGTGGGCTGCTGGAATCTGGGGGAGAAGGAAAAAAGGACAGGGAATCAGGAGAGCCCCCCAGGGTTTCTATGGATCAGGGTGGGGCGGGACAGGTGTTGTCTTCTGCTTCCCAGCTAAAAGCTGGAGACGCTCCTGCACTCCCCTTGCCTTTGGTGGTGCTCAGAACCTGGCCAGGGCCCTTCCAACTCCAGCATTCTGGGAGTGTGAGTGGGGGTAGAGTAGAGGCTGATAGAGAAACCAGACTCCTCCCCCTAGCTCCAGATAAGTGTCCTGTGGGAGAGAGAACCATCCTCTTTGTCCTGTGGGATCTTATAAGGGTGCCTTCTCAGCTTCCTTTGGGGAGCTCAGTCGTGTAACAGAAGGAGAGGAAATTCCAACATTGCCTTCAAGAATTTCAGTTTGGGGGCACTTACTAAATGTCATCACTAGTCACAGTGGTAGGAATGGCTTTCAGGGTCCCAGGAAGTTGACAGGAGAGCTTAAGGAGGGTCCACTGGGCACCAACCACACAGCTCCCAGCAGCAGCAGGCAGGGTGGAGAATGAGGCCAGCACAGGCTACTTGAGTCCCAAATGGCCAGTGTACATACAAGGTTTGACAACCTCTACCCTCCTCTCTCCTGGATGCTAAGAGTATTTGGTGGGTTAGTGGTTGATTGAGATGCTAGTTTGCCACCTCTTCTGACCTCCCAGATAGCAGGCCACAAGTGGTAGACCCAAGATGTGTGATGGGTGAGGGGCGGAGCTGGCAACAGGCTGCCCTCCAAGGGTTAGAAATGACTGGGTATTGGCTTAAGGACAGGCCAACCCTCTCTCATTCCCCTCCCTCCCTTTCCTCTTTTGGCTTATAACTGCCATGGGAGGGAGCTCTCCAGGTACCCCAAATACTATATCTGGTAAGGTGTTGGCATTGAAGGGATCCTGGCCCAAGGAGGTTCCAATTCTTGAACTAGATAAACCTCTAACCTAGTCTCCGCTCAACAGGTGATCAGGAAGGGCTTGGACAAGCCCACAGAGGGTGTAGAGACATTTTCTAATTCATTTGTCACCAGCATTTCCTGAGGGCCTCCTCTATAAGAGAGGATGGAAGGATAGAGGCTGACCTGTGTATTAAGTGGGAAAGGCAGGAGCCACCAAGTGACTCCTTAGTCTGGGACCAGGTCAATAATTTTCCTTCCTCTCCCCTTCCTTCCCTTCTTTTGTTTTTTTGTTTGCTTGTTTGTTTTTCAATACAGGGGTTCTCTGTGTAGCCCTAGGTGTCCTGAAACTCACTTTGCAGACCAAGCTGGTCTTAAACTCATATAGATCCACCCACCTCTGCTTAAGGAGAATGCTGCCATTAAAGGCATGTGCCACCACCACCACCCAGGTTTCTTTTGCTTTCTCTTTGTGAGATGGGTTTCTCTATGTAGCCCTGGCTGTCTCTAGAATGCAGAGATCCAGATCCACATGCCTTTGCCTCCAATGCTAATTCTTCTTTTATTGGGAGTTATTTAGCTTAAACATTATAATAGATTTTTAAAACACCAACCCCTCCCCAAAAATGAACTCTTAAGGTTCATTTTGTCTACTTCATCATACCTTTGCAAGAACCCTATGAGACAGGTGCTGTTCTTGTTCTTAAGTGAGTAGGTAATTAGCTGATAAAATCACTCCGTCACACTACACTAGACTGAATGATAGAACAGGCATGGGAACCCAGCATTGTCTGACCCCAGGGACCAGGTCTTTTTGACTGTACTCTGCAGCTACCAATCTGGGGGCTGCCTTGAGAGAGGGATTCAAAAGAGAAGAGACAGTTTGAGAGAAGATTTGGTATTGCAAAAGTTTTGAGTCCCTGGATATGAGGCCTGTGGCTATGGGCATGGGGAGGGGAGTGGGGGAGTGTCCGTCCTTCAAGATGTCTCTTGAGACCTGTAGAAATTATTCTAGTACCCGAGGATTCCTGGCCCCTTCACCACTGACATGCACTGTAAGCTGGGCTATGTGGCTTGACATCACTTTCCTGTGTCCAAGGGAGGCCAAATCCTAAGAGCCCTCGAAACCTCTGCTAGAGTCTGCATTCCAGTAACAGGGAGTTTGGAGCCACACAATGAGCATTAAAGTAGGAGTTGGAAGACATCCACCAAAGCAGCCAGACACGGGCTTCCCTCCACCCTGGTCCACAAAGTAAGTCCCTGGATAGGTTCAGGGGCTCAACCGCAGACACCCTTTGGGAGTGTTCTGCAGTGTTGTGAGGAGGGAAGGAGGAAGCTGAGGGTAGGAGATGGAGGAGAGTAGGCACTTTCCCTTTCCCTCAAGCACACTCCAGCCCAGAGGGCCCTGCCTCACCCTGAGCTGCCCCTAATGTCAGCGGAAACTCCAAGGGCAGAGGGCTC